TCACCTAGAGGGGGAGTGAACAGGCGTTTCTAAAAATTAACACATTCAAATGTGGAAACGATTAGTATAGCAATCAGAGAAAGAAACCCCTCATGGGTTAACCACAAAGAGTGTATGAAATATACTAAACAAGCCTAGAAGCTAAGGTCCTGCAACACAAAGATTAGTGCAAAGAATAAATAAATTTGGCGCTAGGCCTAACATCAGACATGTTCGGTATGTATACCGGACATGTCCGGTATTCACGAATTCTGTGGTCTAGCTCCCAACTTGCTCCTTTCGATTTCTCCTTTCACACCAAGTTGCAGGCACTCACTAGCAACCTGTTCACAAGCTCAAGCAACACACAGATCATAAATACCAAATGAGAAGGAATTGAGACACGGTATTTGTTTTACCCAAGTTTGAACTCCGTCAAGTCCTACTCTTCGTTGAGGGGGCTGCAAGTGACCCAACAAAGGTCAGCTCTAGAGGACCCATAAAGGTCACTCTAGCCAGAGTCTTTTCTAACTCATTTTCCTCCTTCCACTAGTTGATCCGTTCCCTTGCGGCAGTGGAATCAACCGTTACAAACTTCCGAGGCACACCACAATCTCTTGGGTGCTCACTGGCGACGCCTAGCCGTCTAGGACCGAAAAGTCCAAGAGTAACAAATGCAAATCACGAGATCGACAAATATCTACAAGTGCTCAAGTGGTGGCTTGCTCTCAATTTTGAATTTCACTCAATCCACAAGTTGAATTTTGCAAATTCGATCAATCACACACTAAGAGAGGTTTGGAGAGTGTTCTCAAGGCTAAAAAACGTGTAAGAAAGTTAGTAGAATCAGCAGCCTCCAAAGTTGTAGGCTTGGGAGTATTTATAGACCCCACTCAAAAACTAGCCATTGGAATCACCAGCACAGCGCCAACGTTACCAAGTTAGAAGCGCGCGTGAGACATCGGAACTCCCGATGATTGTCGGAACTTTCGACGAACCAAACCGAGAACACCAAAGAAGTTGTTGTGGCCAGGCCAATATCAGACACGTCCGGTACGCATACCGGACATGTCCGGTATTCTTAGCCATAGCAGGCTGATTTAGCACTTGTGTCTCTTTTTCACTCATACCTCACATGGTTGGCTTGTGCACTTATGAATAATCATCTATCAACATGATGCATCCCTCTTGATAGTACATCATACCTATTAACTCAAGATCAAATGAAAAATGGAGTTTGAAACGCTTGAGTTGATTTCCTTTAAGACCAAATGCCATAGCTCTCAATCTTCATCAAGTGAGGGTGTCACCATGTCAAACTTTTGATTTTCTTCTTGAGCATAGCCATCTTGAGCATGCGACTTGATTCCATTCAATACATGAGAAATAATTTCAAATGTATCAAGTCACTTTTAACAATTTATCCAATAAATTATTTGATCCTCCACTTTAATGTGACCATCATGGTTTGATTAGTATCTCAACTAAATGTAAGTACTTTCTTCTTCACCTTAGCTAGGTTCTTTGGGCGCCAAGCCGTCGCTTGCCCTTCACCCTTGCTTAGTACCTCAAAGCCTTTCCTTGCTATATTCACCATCTCAAGCTATCAAGTCACATTTTGTGTTGAATCACTCATTCATTTGTATAGTAGTCTTTTCATTTTAATGTAGCAAGCTTCAAATAAGAGACCATTCCATATGCAATCCCTCATGTCTCATTAATCAATTCTCAACATGCTTGCTTTCTCATAAATCATAGAAATCTCACAATACATAAGCCTTGCATGAATTATATTTGCATTGTTGTCTTGTGTTTGAACTCAATTATTTATACAACAACACATCATTTTGGCTTTTATCAAGTACCTATGAGATAATCACTTTCCTGTCCAACACTTAGTAAATAGGTTAGACCTTTAATCACGTTGTCGTTCAATCATCCAAAATCCACTAAAGGGCTAGATGCACTTTCAATACACCAGAGGGCTTATATAGTCTTCCGAGATCACACCAACCGTGTTTTATGGTGTGGCTGTCACCATGTATCGGAGGGAACGAGGCCCGTGATGGTTTTGTCGAAAATCTCGATAGTGAAGATGGCGGAGAGCGACCCGGGAGGGGCCATCTCGAAGACCACCACTTGCGCATGGGGAAGGCCCAAAGGCTATCCACAGAGTTACCCAACCGAGAGCTCGGTCCTTGCGAGGGCTCCCACAAGGACTAGGGAAAGCGAGGAGCTTCTCGATATCTCGGTAAAAACACCAAAGTCGTCGATGGGAGTTTGCATCTCTACCACACTTAGCTTCCGCATTTATATTATGTACCTTGGTTGCGTGCTTACCTTTCTAGCTTAGTTTGATAGGCTAGTTTATAGGATTGGAACCTAGATTGCATAACTTATTTGCGTTAGAGATAGCAACACACCTAACAGAAATCTTAGTTGCACATCTAGATAGTTTATTTTTTACATATGTTTTGACTAGGAGAAAATTAGAGGCCTTAGTTTTAGAAGTAGTTTTTAAGCTATGTAGTTCACCCCCTTTGAGCCGTCATGGTCTCTATACCATATTGATCCTTTCGGTCGTGTCTACACGCAACTTAGCTTATGGCATGAACAAGTGTGCTTTGATTTTTATGGATCTCGGGATCCATCAATATCTTTTGGCATGGTTTAAGTGTTTGCTTTCGTTTAAACTATAACTTTGAGAACTATTTGAATGTACCTTTCTGAGACTTATTTGTAACATTTGAGTTCCCATTAACCAAGGTGCTTTAGTATTTATAGTGGCCTTTTTAGACTTTTTAGACTAACAACTAGTTAAAAGTTTATCTTAAAAATTAATTTCTTTGAGCTCCTCAATTTGTTTGAATAGATTAAACTATTTTTTTTAGCTCCTAGTTTGTCTATGGATCAAACAGGCTATGAAAATGGTTAAAAAAACAGGCTATGAAAATCTTAGGATTGGGACTAGTCGTAATCTTTGAGGCTTTTACCTGTGTGCCATTATAAAAGATAGTCCTGACCTACAAGCCACTAAAAAGTTCGGACACACCTAGGTACTATTGCGCCAAACATTTTTTTTGCCTTCCACGCCGTTCCGTCCCCTTCTGTTAGGTTTCCACCGTTTGACAGACCTGACATGTGGATCCGGCCGATGACAATGTCCAAAATATCCTTCTCTCATAACCATGTCCTCTTCCTTCTTTCTCTCTTCCGGTGGGGCCAAGCTGTCAGTGACACAGCACCTTCTTCCTTCTCAAGAAGAGGAACGCGAGGGGAACGGATGGCCGGGAAGAGCACGGCAGCGCGGTTGGCACCTCGAGCCGCCGCCACACGGATGCGCGCCGCTGCCATCGAGCCGTGGCCGCCTCCCTTTCCGCATGCGGCTGCTGTGAGGATGAGCTCCCAACCGAGCGCCGCCGCCACGGTGCCTTCGCTCGGTGCGCAGCCGTGCACGCACCCCCGCCGCCGCTACTCAGCCTGCCACCGTTGCCGCACAAGAGTGGCACGCGGCACGGTTGGTCCTGCTCCGGCTGGTCACACACGGAGGCGTGGAGGCGGAAGAGCTGCAGCATGCGCTTGCACCGCGCGCAGCCACTCGGCGCGACCTTGCACGCGCACGTCGCGAACTCGCGAAGTGCCGCATCAGCAGCCGCAGGCCCTGCGGACGGCGTGTTGTCGTTGGTGCCGTAGGCGAAGATGCGGTTGAGGGAGCCCATGGCCTGGCCAAGCTCCCGTTAGGCCTCCTGCGACGCCCGCGCCCGTCGGTTGTCCGCGTCCTCCAGCTCCAGCGCCGGATCGTGGCGCCGTGCGACGCGCCACCCGTCGGACGCCTCGACGGCGGCCAGGCGCGCGCACCACGTGTACAGTGTTTGAATAAGCCCTGAGCATGCCGCACAGGGCTGATGCCTAATCTTAGCTAGTTGATAGATACAGCTGACTACGCTCTGGCTGTTCGCGGCTGGCGCGCAACCCTGCGGCACGTCCTAGGCCACTGGGATGGCGGTGACTGAGCACGAGCGTGCCGCAAATGACTCAAGCCATTGCTGGCCATGTAAACCTGTATGTAAGCTCTTCTTATTCAGTTTCAATCAACAGAAAATGCTGCCACTTCCGCAGCAACAAAATCACTTGTGTTCCACCTGTGTTCGCATGCGTTCATCCACTCCCCGTCGCTTTCGCTGTGATCGGGATTCTGTCATACAGTAGCGGCACGTCGCAGAGCCTGGCTAGCTGGAGCATGTCCACGGCGCGGTCCGCGGTGAGCCGTGACGACATGGCGGCTTCCGTGGCGCGCTTCAGCCACCCGACGCAGTGCGCGTGCGCCAGGGCCAGCAGCTGCGGCCCGTGAGAGTCCACCAGCTCCTCCTTTCCGGGCGCCACCCTGTGAGCTAGCGCGCATTGCGACGGCCATGTCAAATTTTGATTTCTCTGTTCTATCTCCAGCGGAAGCGGAGAGCGGAAATTCGTTGGCTGACATTACCTGGAGTAGAAGAGGTTGAGGAAGGCGAGGACGGCGTCGGAGGGGACGCTGAGGACGGCGATGGTGCAGTGCGGCGGCTACGGCGTCGGACACGCGGGCTTGAGGCACACGGACCTGTCACCTGTGCAGAAGCTGCCCAGCATATGGAATATAGGAGAGATAAAAAATAAAATAAGTGAGGATTCAAAGAAAAGGAGAAAATAAATTTCTTAGGGCATTTGACTTTTTCCTCTGTATGACGCCGTTACCAGCGAAAGTGGAGCAAATGGCGTGAAGGTAAAAAAAATTTACACCTGTAAAAGGCTCGTAGTTTTTGGCCGCGCTCCTCAAGAAAGACAAAAATCAGCGAATGGTCCCCAGCCCGCCACGGAGGCTGCCGTGGAGGCATCGGAGATTCGGAGTGGAGCCCGTCCACTCTCATCCAGTGCATGTATGGGCCACGTGGTGCACGCTTTGCACGAGGGCACGAAACCCAACAAAGAAAAACCCGTGGGCCGTGGCCGCTCCGCCCGCACGGCGACTGGACTATACTGTTCCCATGAACCTCGTCGCCGCAGCCGCCCTGCCGGCCGTGACGCCGCGTTCCGGCGTCGTGCTCCCACGGAGCGGCCGCCGACACTGCCGCCGCGGGGTCGTCCCACTCGCGGCCTCGAGCTCGGTGGCCTCCTTTACCTCCTCCTCATCCTCGGCGGCGGCGGCGCTTATCTATGCGCCCACGCCGCAGGACCGGCCTCTCCGGACGCCGCATAGCGGGTAAGCGCCACGCGTCTCGGGGTTCTGAGATTCGGTAGTGTTCCTGGAGTCCAGCTGGGGAGTAATGGTGTTTGGTTTGAAGAATGAGTTAGTCCATCATTTCTAACTCCATATTTTGTTTGTTTGGTCTGTGGAGTAGAATGAGTTGATCCATTATCACCAGTACTAGTATTGTTTCACCATATTTCTATCATTCCACCAAATTTAAAGAACTGAACTCAGGATGCACCACCTTATCTAGAATGGTTTGATTCCTCAAACCAAATACCCTAAGTTGATTGAATCAGCCAACACATCGTCACATTTGCTTGGTATTTAGGGGCATGAATGTGGTCATTTCAGAGCTCCAATTCGCAGTTCACGCCCATTCAACAGGGCTCAGATTATCCACAATGCTGCTATTTTGTTACCCTCATTCTTGTTACACGCTGCTACGATCAAGCACTAAAAGCCTGAGACAGAATACTTAAATATGGCTGGACAATTTTGCAGGTACCACTTTGATGGCACAGCTCGACCTTTCTTCGAAGGATGGTACTTCAAGGTGTCGATTCCAGAGTGCAGGCAGAGTTTCTGCTTTATGTACTCTGTCGAGAACCCTCTCTTCCGTGATGGTATGAGTGATTTGGACAAGTTGGTACATGGTCCGCGCTTTACTGGTGTGGGAGCACAAATCCTTGGCGCGGACGATAAGTACATATGCCAGTTCTCTGAGAAATCAAACAATTTTTGGGGAAGTAAGCTTCTTGCTCAGTCTCTCTGTCCTTTGTTGTTACTGTTTTATTTTATACTTTGTTGTATGGAAACTCTGTAGTTAGAATTTAGAAACAAGTTGGCATGATAAACTCATGGCATGTACAATGTGGTACTGCACTGCAAGTTCATTAAGGTTTAAGATTTGCAATGAACTTCAGAAAATCAAGTTAGTGCTACTGTTCCTACCCTATTTGAATGAACTAGTATTGCGTCTTGGAGTTTATACATGAAATTCATATCTCATGGTCTAGTTCCAGCGAAAATGTAGTGCACTGCTAGCCACCACAAAATTGGAGGTCTTCATGATACTATTTCTGGACACCCCATGATGTATTCTTGAGCAACTTAGGGTCACTTCAGACATTTGATTGGTGTGTTCAACTACATGACCCCATTTAGTTTATTATGGGTCCAAGGACATTTTTATTGAATGTTTAACTAATTTGTCTTGCCATACAATGTTAAGACATTGGCAAAGTCACAACAATGTGTACTACAACTCAGCTTCTGATGTGAATATTTGTAAAACATGGTCAAAATTATGTTAATATACTATCTCCATTTGGCAATATCTGTTCATTTTTTAGGAAGCTTTGTTCCACAATTATTTTTCATCGAGGAAACCTATATTTAGCCGTTGAAAAGATGTTGAACAATTGTAACATGCATTTCGATAGGGGCATGCATGTTCATTTCATTAACTTTTCCTAAATTTGGAGCACTTGTTTTTCTTCACGATGGGATTGGACGAACATTATGAAATGAAGGGAGTGTTTACTTGAGACAAAACTAATCACAAATCACATCTGATGTAGATTAACAGTTACTCTCGGTTGAAAACCTATTATAAAAAGCTAACTATGTATGTCAAAGTACTCTATCATCTCTGGTTGATTATACCTTGATGATGTTGATTAAGGGAATTCCTACCTGGTGGACCAAGGTTCTCCTGACCTCTGGTTGAGAGGAGCTACCCTGTGTTTTTGTATCTCTCTACAGTTTGTTAGGTTGCTATTTCTTTATATAAGGTCAACTGCATGCCTTCGTGGGCAAAGAATGCTACTTTTTAATAGGGCGTGGTTAATCTTAATCACTGCAAAGTAAAATAAAGTAATAAACTGCATATTAAAATATAAATTTGGTGCCTTTCAGTTTTTTCTATTAACAGTTAGTGTTGCTTTTCCTGGTTTCATGGAACTTTAGTAATGCATCACTGGTTGTTGAATTCCCAACTAATAAGCTGTATTTGGATAGGTAGGCATGAACTAATGCTGGGTAACACTTTCATTCCCAATAAAGTGTCAACTCCCCTGCAAGGGGAGGTGCCCCCTCAGGTAGATGTTTTATGTCTTCTTTTGAAATCCAAGGACTCATAACATGATATGAAGTACTTACTTTGCACTACACAGAGCTCCTTACTGAACCACAAAGCACATTGGATGACATACGCTTAGCTACTCCATATCTGTCTATCAAGGGGGCACAATAGGGAATCGTTGTTTGTCCGTGATAGTTTAACTTGATAGTTGCTGAAGTGCAATATCTTTGATTTTGATAATAATATTGATTATATATACTAATCTAAATATTATGTTTACTTTTCTTCTGTTAACTTTTAAGTACGGAAAATATGATATTATTCATGCTTCAATGCCATTCATTTTATTTTATTTTTGGTGAAGATACTTTTGGGAACATGTATCACCAATTTATGTATTGATTCTGTCCATTAAGTATCCTATAAAGGGCGTACCCAGTGCAGAGAGCTCTCGCTCTGTGCGGGGTCTGGGGAAGGGTGTCAGTGGCAAGCCTTACCCTCGCCTGTGCAATGCGAGGAGACCACGACTCGAACCCAGGACCTTCCGGTCACAGGCGGTAAGACTCTACCGCTTGCACCAGGCCCGCCCTTCCCATTAAGTATCCTATGCCCAAAAAAAGTTCCTTGAGAAGATGGGTTTCCATTGATGTATACAATTGTAATCCTTTAATATCACTATATCTTATTTTAATTAAATAATGACTGGGGAATATGAAATTTCCTGTTCTCTTGTTCATACATGATATTTGATATTTCTGCTGGTTTATTGTTTTATTCTATCAAAATTTTGTAACATGTAAAGGGTTCTCATTGAATACTCAACGGATATAGGATTTCTCTAAACGTGTTTTGGAAGGGTTCCAAGTCACCCCAATCTGGCATCAGGGTTTGATACGTGATGATGGAAGGCATGTTATATCTCATCTTATTAAAGATTTGTTTTTGCTATTATTAGGCTGCTTGCATAGCACTGCAACAACAGTTGCTTAACATTTGTTTTGCCCCTTCAATATGTAATAGTGACTTCTCTTTGTTAACATTTGTATATTTTGCAGAAGTTAGAAGTTTAACTGTGCTCCCAGTTCAAGATGATAATAGGCAACATCTTTTTTATTTCTCGAACATGCAAGAGAGTTGTACCATTTCATTAAGAAAGAAGAGAGTATGCAAGAGTGACAAAAGTCGCCCGAAAACACAGACAAAACTCACTGACACAGCCACACCACAAACAAGAGAAAACAAGAAACAAATGGCCCTTTTTAACAGCAGGTGACCAATTAGTTGCCAAGACTAGGAGTATTATCCCCCAGTAAATGACCTGACCAGCAGCTCCTGGAGTGCCTTCGCTCCAGTGGAGCACCACAAAAGGCATTCATAGTGACAGCCTATAGCACATCTTTTTTTTTTCTTGAACAACGCAGGTGAGCTTTGTGTCATTTCATTAAGAAGCCTGCAGCACAGCCGTGACTCAATAGGCATCTTCTGTATGGGACGTTTGACTACATCTTGTTAGAAAGTGCCAGGAAAATTTAGAAAATGATTACTCATTTTTATAGCAATAGTCTGAACTTTATAACAGTTGTGCTCTCTTGATCTTGTTGCAACTAAAAACTAGCAAATCACCTGCAACAATAGGGAGGCTAGCACACAAAAACACAAAATTTGATCGGTACTTTTGTTTCTTTCATTGATGTGAGCTAGTTGTACCTTCGCAGGTCAAAGTATGTGCCAAATGTCCAAACAGCTCGCTGGGAGTACAGCACTCGTCCAGTTTATGGGTGGGGTGATGTCAAATCTAAGCAGTTGTCCACAGCTGGTTGGCTTGCAGCTTTTCCTTTCTTTGAACCTCATTGGCAAATATGCATGGCTGGTGGCTTGTCCACAGGTTTGTCTTTGTGCTCAGAAAAATAAAGATACTGAGTTACTGATAGACCTGCTATTCATAAATTTGTTCTTGTTAGACAACCAATATTCCCCTATTGCGTTGCTGAGTTCACGTCTCATTCATAAACTATGATGCACAATAGCACTGTTGATTTGTACTTCTTAATGATGCATGTGAAAGTTTTTGCTTCCTTTTACTTTTTAGTAATTCTTTTAAAAACCCTAATAGCATGTAGTCATATCTGGAGTGCAGCTGGTCCACTCTAAGATTGTTCTTATCTTCCATCAAATTACTTCTCTCCAATTGAGTTCTATCTTTAGCCCTCTTAAGAATTTGAGGTATCTGCTAAGAGTTTCTTTTGTTGCCCCACTGTCTGCATTTTTTGTCGGTCATGACAGTAAAGTTTTATTTTTTTTGGTGTACCCTGGGGTTTCCCATGCTTCTTTCTCTCTTTGTGTACACACCTTCTTTCTCATAAGATTGACGTGTAAGTTCGGCCATAGGTCCTATCCATTTGGAGCATATGAACCTGTTTAAAAATTGTGTGTGTTTTCTGTGGTGCATCTGGATGAATAGGTAGTAGAATATTTAAAACTGCATCATATACATATGTAAGTTTTGAACTGTTTGGTTGGTATGCCCTATGGAACATGACTTGATCTCCTGCTATTTGCATAATTGCTTCCTTGAGCCATGCCTTTAATTGGAAATTTCTGAAATAATCTGTAGCATGCCATATTATTATTCCTCTCAATAACTTCCTTCCAGTGTGGAGTAGTATTAACAACAGTGATATGTGGACTTTTCAGGATGGATAGAATCGGATGGAGAACGGTTTGAATTTGAAAATGCTCCATCTTACTCAGAAAAGAACTGGGGTGGAGGTTTTCCAAGAAAGTGGTATTGGGTGTGTTATCTGTAATCATTGTGCCCTCTGATCCTCTATTAGTTATGATACCATAAATTCATTATAATATCAAATGAAATCGTGTATTATTTGGAATAAGAAGGCATAGTTTCATCCCACAATTAAAAAAACGAATAATCTTTACCCTTCTTTTTAGTGATAAATTGATAAGGAATCATGACTCTGCTGACGTATAGTGTACAATATAGAATTTGCTGTAAATTCTTGTAGCTGCTTATGAAAATTGTTCTTTTCAATTAGTCTTTTGTGCCAGCCACCCAGTCATGATGGTATTGATCGCAGCGTGTCTAAGTCTCAGTCAGATTCATGTCTGTATGGTGAATTTTGCAAGTATGTTGTGGTTCTGGTCTGTTATATTTGTAATATCTTCTGTAAAAAAGTAATTAGTGCTTAGCAACGAAGATTACCAAATGATTGTTGATCCTTGTTTCCTTGATGTGTTCTGGAAGCTATGTGCCATTAAATTTGAGAGAGAAAACAAAGGCTTTTATATTTTTTTGTTTTGAATAAATTTTTCAATTTTGTAGAGAATTTATTTACATCCAAAAATTTGAAAAATTTAATGTTGGCTTGTAATACATGCTCATTCTTTTCCTCAATGTTGAAGATTAGATTATTCTTCTTTATGCTTTTTGTTAGTTTCAGTCTTGTGGGTTATCAATGTATTTAATTGAATCTTTGCTTCATTCAGATCCAGTGCAATGTCTTCTCAGGAGCTTCTAGTGAAGTTTCTCTAACTGCTGCTGGCGGGTTGATGAAAATTGGACTTGGTGATACCTACGAAAGACCTTCACTGGTACAATTGTGATACTTTGCTTTTCAGATTTAACCTGGTCCATACTTCTACTTCGCACTTGTGTGTTATGGGCATGCATCCATGAGAGGGAATTGGTGAGGGAGAGAGACACCACACAAGGGAGAAGCTGACTAGAGCATATGCCATAGGTGTGCACCCGGGTGAGAAAGAGGCAATGGCTAGGCGGTGGCAAAGAGATGAGGGCACAAGGCACTTACCCCTTGATTCCTGCTTGCCCTTCCTTGATAGGCTGCCTCTCTTTATACAGTCAAGTAACACAACCCCTAAGCAATCAATTACAAACTTGCAATCTGGAATAATCCAGAGACTACCTGATATAAACCCTACTGAACCAAATGGGTAAGTAATCACGCATTAGAATCATAAACCTGCATGCATACTACAGTGCACGTGCACAGTTCCTGTGCCTCCCTGGGTCAAGGTTGGGCAGGCAGGTTCTTGGGCCACACCAAGGTCCATAACAATAAGTTACTTAATTATAAGTTACTTAATTCATCATACCAGGATATGTTATCATGAAACAAGGATATTTGATGAAAATTATTTATGGACCTACTGGTCATCAGTGATTGTGGAAATATGATTTCTAACAAAATATCTTGGTCATTCTGGTCAATTACTGCAATAGTTATGCCACTAATTAGTACTTTAATGGATAGATAAGTCCACACGGAAACAAACAAAACAAAGAAGGAAGTATCATCAGAAGCTTATTCATTTTGTTTCTTTCCATTTCTCTGTCAATTTCTTATGCTCAGCATGTAAAGAGTACATTAGCTATCTGTATATGAGATATTGTGACCCTGCTGATAAGTTGTACTGTTAGCTCAAACCTAGTCCTCTACATATACATTTTTCAGATAAATGAGAGGACGCACTTGGTCAATACTTCTTAGTAGTCAATGATTGATTTTGGGAACTAGTAACCTCTCATTTTTCAGCTAGTATATTGGACATTGGGAAGCCTGAGGGACTAATCTGGAATATTTCTATATCAGTGACTGGATGTTTACTTATTCATAATGGAAGCAATGAAAAATTGTTTATATGTAAAACATATGGGTTTAAGGTTGACTACTTGCATCAGATCTTTTCTCCTCTTTTGCGAACAAGGGCTGTACTGTTTCTTTTGTATTGATTTAAATATAAGTTTAGTGATTATCCATTTTTGCATTAATATGTTTAATTCTTTCCTGTAAGTTTTACTATTTGAATTGCCGTAGCACGAACTTTTGCCTGAATTGTTTATCTTCTTGTAATTCTGGTTACTTGGGCGACGTGGAAACATTGCAATAGGTGTGTTTTTTTTTAATGGAGAATCACCTAGCGTTAGTATTGTCATTAGGACAATAACAAGGGAGGCTGCTATGTGGTTTGCAGACGGAGCTAAGGAGTTTAGGCTGTTTACCTTGTGCTAGGCTGGTAGTTCTTTGGCTGTGTTTTTTCTTTAGTTTGTGGCATGTTTGTGGTAATTTATTGAGGGTTTGAACTGATTCCGTACCATATTTTCTTTTTTAATAATATGATATTCAGCTCTCCTGTGTATTCTTGAATAGATCATTTATTTTCTTGCCTAAAGTTCAGCATATACAAATCTCTGCATCACATTGAGCACCTTAAATCTTAATGATTACAAACAAATGTAGCTGTACCTGTTGTGTCATTACTTATGAGTCTCGTCTCTTGTTTTACTATAGGGAACTGCCATTTAATCAATATATTGAGTGGTAATATTTTCTCCTCCAAGTACAAATGAAATAGGAGCACACACATGAAGGCGTCATATAATTTTTAATAGAGTATAGCCTTTCATAAAAACAAAACAATGTATACCTTGTAACAACGAAACAGAAGATATATGATGCAACTACGATGTATAAGCACTCTTGTTTTCTTTCCTGCAGATTGGAATACATTACGAGGGACAATTTTTTGAATTCGTACCTTGGACTGGAACAGTAAGCTGGGACATTGCGCCGTGGGGTCGTTGGAAGATGTCTGGCGAGAACAAAACTCATCTTGTAATTAACGCATATAATATTAAAATTCTGTGAATTTTGCTTGTCTATCAAATGTTGGCTGAGATTCTAAATTAATAAGGTACTCATTTAGCATTCATAGTTGTAGGATAATATGAAAAGAACTTTGCTTTGTAGCAGTCTCTGTTTGCAGTCGAACTCTAGTGGTGGTTTGACTGTTACAGCCAACCTTTTTGTTCCGCAACCTTTGATAAATATATGCATCCTTATAATTTTGCAGGTAGAAATAGAAGCAACCACTACAGAACCAGGAACTGCTCTGCGAGCTCCTACTATCGAAGCTGGACTGGTACCAGCGTGCAAAGACACCTGCTATGGAGATCTAAGGCTACAGTTGTGGGAAAAGAAATACGATGGTAGCAAGGGAGAGGTATGCTTGCATTATCATGAAGTTGTTGGCACCTGTTTCCTTGAGCTCTCATATTAATAAGTCACTCTTTACTGTTACATCCTGCATGATCTTCATGTTCTTCGTTTTGGCCTTCTCCTGATCTTTTTGGGTGGCCAAAACCAACTTAAAAACTGTCCAACAACTTGTAGACCAAATCATCAATCTCATTCTTTATGTTCATGATCAGAAAGCAGCAAGTATTTTACACTACAAGGAATATGCTACATTACCCACATGTTAAATCATTTTTGTCGCAGATGATACTAGATGCCACAAGCAACATGGCAGCACTAGAAGTTGGCGGAGGCCCGTGGTTCAATGGGTGGAAAGGGACAACTGTTGTGAACGAGGTTGTAAATAACATTGTGGGCACCCAAATCGATGTAGGGAGTCTCTTCTCAATCCCATTTCTTAAGCCCCCAGGCCTGTAGGATCACCTAGGAATGTCACAATAAAGGGAGAAGTATCATTGATATCGATGTGGTTTTTCCTTGTTTACTACTACAATCCACAAAGGCACAAACTACCAGGGTAGAACAAACATGTTATTTTTTTCAGACTAGTTCACCGCAGCGTACCCTTGCTCTGGAGTTCCAGTTGGTCTGTTCGTACAAGTCTGCCCGGTTCCAATTGAGCTGAGGCACTGAGTTCACTGTCGCAGTGATCTGCACAGGAACTTGTTGCTTAGTTTTTCATGGTACAACTAGCATCTGACGTTGCATGTGCATCAACATCATTGTTAGCTCACAGTTTTCCCATCTTTTCGAAAGCATGATGCTTTTCACAGAACCTTCTATTGTTGGGGAAGACTATTTCAAGACTGATAGAGACATCCCTCTGAATATATGGCAAAATGGAATATGATAGGGTGTCAAGGCTAGAGTTGTGGAGCCCCCTTTTTTCTGCTCTTGCGATGTATTGCAACATGGGTCAAAAAGTTGTAGCAGAATTGTTGTCGTTCCCTTTTAGCCCGGCTGGAGATGTGATGCAATGTGGATCTTGTAGGGCTGAAATTATGCAGTCCTCTTGCCAAGGCTTTTGTCGTCTGGTGGGAGATTTGTGCAGGAAGGTACAGGACGGGAAATATAAAAAACAATTATCATAAGAGTTAAAAACTTAATATGTATGAAAATACGGTCTGGGTCTATAAACACATTTTGGAAGAGTTTGTTTTGTCTCTGCCAACTTTGGGAGATTTACTTCAAGTCTTCAATAAATTACAGAAATGTGTATGATATATTTGCTATACATGTATAATATGTGAATCAAACAGTTTAAAATGTAAAAAGGCATTTACATAAAAAGTTTGATACGATGGAAAAGAAATTTTAAAAGGAAATATATATTGTGGTCTCCTGGACCCTGGTTTGCCATGCCTCCAATTCTTGGAACACCACACAAATAGCTATGAAAAATTCCAGAGGAAACCGGTGAACGAATATGCTGTAATCATGAAAACTTGTCGTCACATGCTACTCTTATGGAAAAAGAAAAATGTATCAATAAAGAGTCAATAAAGAGATAAATGCTACTCTGCTATGTCCAGATTTTTGGTGCTCTATGTTCAGATCATGCTGGTTATTCCCTCTATCCGTTAGTGTAAACCATATTTTGTTTTCAAAAAGTGAAACATGACAAATTTTGACAAATACTTCGTTAAGCTATATGCTGTAGAAAAGTTATATCATATTGAAATACTTTATTAGTATGAATTTACAATATGCAGCCTGTTCGCTTGGTTGTATTTGGCTTATAAGCCATGGCTTATCAGCCAACGAACAATATTTTTCTCTCACACTAAATCAGCTAACAGTACTTTCAGCCATGGCTTATAAGTCAAACCAGCCCAAACGAACAGGGTGATGATATCGATGGAAGAGAAACTAGTGATCAATACCTATTTTTGATAACTTCCTTTTTTTTTCTAAAATATATGTTTCCTTTTTTTTTCTAAAGTATATCTTATAGGATTGGGGAAAAGGAGTACTTGGATAGGACTTTAGATGGTCAAAACAGCAACCTATTATTTATTTAGTACCATGAAATGTTTTAAATTCACATTACAATTCTCTGTTCTAAATGACAATGGCGCCAAAACTAAACCCACAAACCCACATAACCCCCCCCCCCTTTTTTTGTTGCATAAAAAAGGTTCAACTCTACCACCTATTCCTTACCATTTTGAGTATCTATCAACTAGTAATTCATGCATTCCAACCAAACCACAACAAATTCATTTATTCCTCCACTTTCAGCCTGATTTCCAGTCAGAAACAATATTTTTCTCTCACACCAAACCAAACCTCAAAATCCCAAATCCAAATTTTCTCCGGATCAAACAGCACACGATCTTCCAATCGCGGCGTGATATGATATAAAATAAATTTCTTACTGCCCCATTCGCGTCGCATCGAATCTATCTCGTTTCCTGTTTTTGTTTTGCCCTTTTTTTGTGTTCCTGGCGATTTATGCCATCACATCTGCCGCTGCTGTCGTGCCTGCTGGTACTGCTCCTCTCCTTCGACAAGTTCCTCTTCCACTACCTGAAGCGCCGCTGGTTCTCCGGCGGCAGCGGCGCCACCGTCCCGAGGGTTGCCGCCAAATCGAGGCGCACCATGGCGGCCGCCAAGTGGAGCGAGACGGCCATGCTCGTTATCGACATGCAGGTCTGTTTCTTCTCCCTCTCGCCACGTCTCGGAGGGGAGATGTTTCGGTTTTCTTGATTTTGAGTTGATTCTGGATTCTAACGGCTTTGTGTTTGTTGAATTGGTGGCTCCATCCAGAAGGACTTCGTGGACCCGGCGATGCGCAGCCCGATGCTGGTGGCCGGCGGCGAGGCCGTCGTCCCCGCCGTCGCCGAGGCCGTCGCCGTTGCAAGGGAGCGCGGCATTTTCCTCGTCTGGGTCAGTTTCGCCATCACTGTTTTGGCCTCCCTGTTGTAATTTCTGCGCCGTTTCTTTGTCTAGTACAACACCAACATCTAGATTATTGGGTCAATGCAACGAGGCGTACTGATTTCTCAGTCCAACGAAAGAGGAATCTTTTGTTGCGTGTGTTCTAAGTTCTTGACACGTTGCTAGGATCCAAATTTGCTGCCTCCATACCGTTAGCTTCACAATTTTTTTGTTTGTGCTTTTGCCACGCAAGGAACGACAGGAATTAGCATGTTCAGGGACATCTTTATCTATATATAAAAAAAGAACGTTCAGGGACACAATAAAATACCTTTATCCCAGAGGTTTCTCCTTCAATGCAATGTGTGATGTGTGTCCCCTACCCCTATAATAGGTTAATTCTACTAATTTCCCACTTGTCATATGCATGTGGACGCTTCAACAATTTCTAGGTTCATTGACCAATGTCTTGTTCCTCTCTGAACCTGCTTACTTGGCTGGACCATCCTGTCCATAGTAAGTGCACATGCCACTCCTGAACCTCCTTTCGTCACAACATTAGTACAGTACTGAGGGTTGTTTGTGTTTCAAAATCTGCCGCAATTCAACATTGGATGGCTGGAAAGTGCAATGGTTTTTGGAATTTCTCATTGTGTCTGCTCTGATTAACTTCCAATTGGAATAGTTCCCTTTTGCTTTCCACTTTCTCTAGGGATAATGCGAGCCAGATCCTGTACAAAAAAAAGACATGACAAAATTGAGGGTTTTACAATATATGATGTTTGCAATGAATCCAATTTTTGAAGAACGCAGGATATTAGGTAGTAGGAAAGAACACAAAGCTCATGTGTTGTTAAATGTTTAAATAGTGTGTTCTTCTAAACTCTTCTTCAAAAGTAATAAAACAAAAAAATCTGTTGGGTATATATTTCCAATTTCAGGCACTTGTCCTGCAAGAACTAGATTGTATATTGCTTGAAGCCTGAAATATTTTCTAATAAGTTATCCTGTATTCATTTAAATCATCTTGGATGTTTGGGTGTATCGGTGTACATGTACTGTGCTTAACATGTTTTTCAGATATTCACTGGAAACATGTGGCAAGCTAATATCTCATAGCATAACCTAAAGCTTTTCACATAAAGCAGCGTCATTCAGAAAGTAGAGTAATAGATTTAATCATCTGGCCCTTTTGTTGCTCTCTGCCGAGTGCCGAGACATTGATGTATGGTGAACTTGAGTGTAGGTTGTCAGAGAGCATGATCCTTCTGGAAGAGATGTTGAACTTTTCCGCAGGCAGCATTACTCTGGGGAAAAGGGTCCAACAGTGAAAGGTCTGAAAGGAGCGGAGCTGGCTGATGGGCTTGTTATCAAAGAAGGGGAATACAAGTTGGTGAAGACTAGATTTAGTGCTTTCTTTGCGACGCACCTTGATTCTGTCCTGAAAACTGCAGGAATAAAGAACTTGGTTATTGTTGGTAAGCACTGATATACATTTGTTGATATGAAAGTGATTATCATTTCGCTCCATGATAATTGAATTCTGTATGATTATATCCTTGTTACTTAATAATGTTTAGTCCTTTCCCTTCTGTCTCCCTTTTCAATTCTTCACTTGCATTTTCAATTTTCATGGCCATATTATGGAAACACCCATTCATATATATGTTCGTCAATGGGAATAAACATACAAATTCTTCATTTTTCTACAGTATAGCAACCTGTGCACCCAAAAAGGAAACTTATTTGAAACAAAGATGCAATCCTTTCTTTTCTGCTTGAGAGGTCAGGCATCACATCGTACATCATCATGCTACTTATACATGTATGTGTTCATTTTCAGGAGTTCAGACACCAAATTGCATTCGGCAGACTGTCTTTGATGCTGTAGCACTGGACTATGAGAAAGTTACAGTTCTTATTGATGCAACAGCTGCTGCAAGACCAGAAATCCATTTGTGTGAGTCTATAAATCTCCTATACTACTTTCCACATCAAAACAATATTTCCGCTCTTTACAATTTGAGATGCGTATGATTAGACTGCTGTTAGACATGTTCGTTTACATTAAAGAGAAAAAACTTGTGTTCTAGATTTTCTGATCTTATAAATTTATTTTTAAAAGCAGCGGATTATTCGTAACGCTCATTTTTTACAGTATACATATTTGGTCCAATGTGATTGGATAGATATTTAAGTTATGGTATTGGGAAGTGATGAGCCAAAGAACAGACATATTTTGTGTCACAGTAATTTGTAAGGTTATGTTTCGAACTGCTGCATCTATTGAGAAGCTGTTTTTATTTCCAATTTTGTATGCAACTGTTAGTTGGAAGAGTCTTTTCTGGACCTGCAACAGAAAAAAAATCCCATTAGAATTGCCAATATCTTCAGCTATAATACACAGCACAGCACAGCATACCTCAGTATCAAACTCGTCCCAATCAGCACATTGGATACAGAGTATGTGCAATTATTGAATTTTCCTCTCAATTGTTTATCAAATTGCAAGGTGGATACACAATTGAAGCTTCAGTGCCCCGATAGATAGATTAGATAGATGAGAAATAATAGATCTTTTATTTCTTCATGTCGCCACAGTTTCAATTCATTAAGAGTGTAGGACTTAAATTCATGCTTTGTCCACAGTTTCCATTGTAGTAATGGAAAGGGGGCAACCTGTTTCGAAAAAATCCAGGTTCACAAAATGGTTAGAATTGGCAATATCCCTGTGATTAACTAGATTCCTCAATAGAAGACCCAGCACGTCTAACATAAAACTCTGTACTCTCACTATGCATTGGATGAAGATTATGTACATCTATTGAATTTTTGACATAGTTTTTCTCAAATTTCAAGGTAGATACTAGATACTCCTGAAGTTGTAGTTATCTGATGCTCAGACGACAGATCATTTGACCTTTTTATTTCTCATGTGGTCACATTTTTGAAGTAAATGTAGGACTTTTTAGCCCATGCTTTGTCCAGGTTCCCAAACGAGTTAGTATGGATAGACACCATGTATAGACCTTAGCTAACAAACATTTTGGAAAGCTACACGAACTTTTTTGAAAGGTGGATTTTTCCGTAAAGATGAAGTTTTTTGAACTAAAACATGGGAAAAGCCTGTTACAAAATATTGTTGTCTCAAGAAGAAACAGCCAGACCTCCTGCTATCGTATTTAACACTGCAGCGTCTGACAGTTGGCAAATGGCAAAGATGATATACTGTTATATACTTCTCTATCTATATCATCTGTTTCGTGGGATTCCTGGTGATTGATGGCATCTACTACATGTGTTACCCAGCAAATATCAGGGATATGAAGAACATCGGAGTGGATACGCCAACCGTGGAAGAATGGCGCCGCTAGGGTCCGCTGCCACCTCACCCTGTCTCTTGGCAGCACTAGCAAAGAGAGATCACCTGATCTATGAGATGCATGCAGCACCTCCCTGCATCTGTTTCCTTTTTTCTAACCTGCGTGTCTAACTGCGTGACTGCACGTACGTAGGTGTAGTGTTATACCCTGTGACTGTGAGGTAGAACAATGCCAGATGGTGGTATATATATAGCATATGCAAACTTGTAATCCCTCCTGTGTGTAGAGTTCTGTTCAGCATACCATGTGCTTGCTTTGACTTCGGAATACGGCACTGAATCTGCACGCCTCGCAGCAGATGAATGAATTTTACGGGCCAATGCCCAAGGCGTGGGCTGTCGATTTCGAGCTGATCGCAAAGACCAAGTCAAGACCAAACGGGCCAATAAGCCGAACTCCAAGCAGTTCAGCCCAGAACGACGATACATATGCGAGGGCCAAATGAGGAGCTGCATGGAAAAAGTCCTTTTAACTTCGTCAAGTATTGTTATGATCCAATTTACCTCCTCAAACTAGAAAATCAAATGTCTTGGAGCCTTTAACTACTGAAACCGGAGCTTGTCCTCCTTGGATCAGTTTTAAAGCGGTTTAATATGTTCTACATGGCGCCACATCAACCACGAGGGAGGACTATGTTGATAGCTCAAAGGTCAAATAGACTTTGCCAAAAAGGTTATAGAAATAAATCTTAAAAAGCTACCCAAATATTTTTTGAAGAAATATGGAATTTTAAATCCCAAAATCTAGTCTAATCTTAGAAATTTTATTTTAGCTCAGAAAAAATGAGACTAGTTTCTGTTTTTTTTAAATCATGCTCTATATTATGGCGCATAGATTGGAATTATTTGGATCTTATATGGCCTCATTTTTGTTTATTTATTAGTAGATCTCTTTTCGGTGATATGGAACTAGGGTACCTCATCGTCCCGATATAAGCCCATTACCATCGGGATGGCCCGAGGCTGGTGAAGATGAGGCCCACGCGACCCGAGTTAGGGTTCGCTGCCAGACATGGTGATCAAGGAACATAGCGCAAGAAGCTTGGCCACCGAATAGCTACAAGATACGATAACCATTATGTTATTATTTTCATGTAACTAACTAGGAAACATATCTATAAACCGATTGTCGTCTATGTAACCGTACCCTCAGAGTATATAAGGTAGGGTAGGGAGCACTCGATCGGTACCTTGTGAATACTCAACAACCCCTTGTAGCTTGAGCACACAAGATAAAAGAGATATACTTCAAACTAGACGTAGGGTATCTATCACGCACCTAATTGGCCCCCCAAAGACGGGCTCAGCAGGCCGGCGAGAGCATGGGACCCGGCCTCGGTCAAACGCGGGAGGCGTTGAAAGTCCTAGTTTAGTTTTGGTTAATTGATGAAACCTAGTAGGACTAATCTTTGCATCTAAGTGTGCGGTTAGATAAGATGGTCCAATCCAAGTGGTGGAGCAAGATGAAGTCCATGACGATGTTGATGGACATGTGATGATGGCGATCAAGCTCTGGACTTGGAAAAGAAGAAAGAGAAAAACAAAATGGGCTCAAGGCAAAGGTATATTGATAGGGCCATTTTGTTTTTCCATTCAAGACACCAAGTGGGTGTGAGTGGATTTAGGATAGATAGCCGTACTATCAAGAGGGGAGAATATCGGTTAAAACGGTTGTCAAGTGCCACTAGGTGAAGTGATTCATGCATACGCATTAGGACCTAGTGAGCTAACTAATTAACCCTAAAAAATATTTGTGAAAATGCTAACTCAAGTGCTAAATTTGTTTTGGTACAAGTCAGAGGAGTTGGCACTTTAAAAAGGGTTGTTGGCGCAAAAACGTGTTAATGCACCGGGCACACAGCAAGCCGGAAGGATCTGCTTGATGGAGCAAGGCTGGAGATCCGTTTGGCTTCAACGCAGGGATAAACCGATCATTCGAATTCCTCCCAAGGCGTGCCAGTCAATTTGACATGCAATTAACAAGGAGAGAAAGTTTATCAGTAATTTAAGGTAGAACATGTCGGTTTTTGCCCAGACAGTTCCAAGTGTGCCGCTTCGGGAGCAGCCAAACGGGAAAATCGACTAAATAGCCGATACGCGAAGAAATCGACTGTTACAGACTATAAAGCTTGTGGGTCGTGATTGATTTTATATTGACAAGTACAATACACGTAGATGTAAATAAGATCATCAGCTAGGTAGATATTACCAGTGTGAAGCATTGAGTCGATAAATCTAACGAAAAAAGATATAACATGCGAACAAATCGACTGTCTAGTACAAATGGATCTATAAACGCTCTGAATCTAATATGTTACCATCAACAGTGAGGTTCGATCGGATCGATGACAACTATGATGATAATAACAAACTAAAACCGAAGAATCCGTAAAACCATCTATACATTGACAGGCTTTTCGAAAGACATGCTATATGTGTGAAAGCTCAAGCGGATCGGCTGAAATAGCCGATTCAGGTGGGAAAGGGACTACAACATGTGAATAATCGACTATTTAACATGGATAAATCTATGAACTCATCAGACTTAACCTGCTATCTCTAACAGTGGGGTTCGACTGGATCGATGGCAGCGTGATAAAGACAACAAATCAAACCTTTAAAGCAAACAGATCTATTCACATTTAACAGAATCATGAAGACATACTGTAGGCGTTAAAGCATAGGCAATCGACTATTTAGCGGATGCAGACATAGCAAACAGTTAAGGTCATGCCTGATCAAAAACAAATCTACCAACTAGCATTCTCCGATCTAAAGTGCCATCAATGGGGATCCACCGTATCATTGCAGCCATAATAGCGAACTATAGACTAGATTTAACCAGCTAGCAAATCTCCTCAAGATCAGACATGCCTTAACCACGTACTATGCACGATCAAGATCGAAGTAGAACAGCCGATTGAAACATAACCCGTCGCTCAAAGTAAGAAACATCGTGTTGTAATACATCAAACGACGGACTAAAAGGATATGAGGCCGATCTAGATCGATCTTGATCGGGCAGGTTGATGTTGCTGAAAACTAATAACAATAAGAACATCAGCAAGATCGGTAACTTAATGAATCTACCCAAAGGATGCCACTATTAGGTAGAGCCGATAACTTGACCTTAATCTAATTCGAGCAGTGGAGGTCGAACTTAACCGATGCAGCCGTACTTGAACTAGATGAAGATTGATAACTAGCTTATGCTAGAGTTCACAGTGGAGGTCGAACTTAACCGATGCAACCTTACAAACCAAAGCATAAGCCATGACGGTACTTACAGACAAGCCGGAGGTCAGCCGGACCGATGCAACCCTGCTTGTTGAAGAACTCACCGAGATCTACACTACTCCTACTCCTAAGGGTTGGCATAAAGCCGAAAAAGTAACTTGTATTGATTGGATTCATGTCCTTTTACAATAGCTGGGGTCCAGTATTTATACCCAGAGCCTAAGCATGAATCCTACTCAAGTACGACTCATTACAATCTTTGGTATAAAAGAAAAACATTCCTAACTTAGAATAACTTGGACCCTAATCTTTTCCTTTTTATAAAGTCCAACATGTATTTC